CTCATCGTTCTGGAGGCTGGAAGTTCAAGGTCAAATAGCAGTAGATCGCTGCCTGGTGATGGCCTGCCTGCCGGCACACAGACTGCTTCCTTCTCTCTCCGTGTCCTCACCCGGGAGAGGACGGTGCCCTCTGGAGCCTCTTTTATAAGGACGCCAACCCCATTCGTGATGGCTGCACCCTGGTGACCTAATTACTCCAAAGGCCCCGCCTCCTGATACCATCACATTGGGGATTTGGTTTCAACATAGGAATTTGGGGGGACACAGACATTCAGTCTTTCCCACCTGGTTAGTAGACACAGAGCTAAGGTAGGATTCCAGGTCTGTCCGACTGAAAATTCCATGATCTCTCTATTATACCAAACTATTTCAGGCACCGCAGCCTCCCCTACACTGTAGCATCATCCATTTTCTTTTTAAAAAAATACATTTTATTGATTTCAGAGAGGAGGAAGAGGGAGAGATAGAAACATCAATGATGAAAGAGAATCATTGATTGGCTGCCTCCTGCGCACTCCACTCTGGGGCTCGATCCCACAACCCGGGGATCGAACCGTGACTCCTGGTCCATAGGTCGATGCACAACCACTGAGCCACGCCAGTCGGGCTAGCGTCATCCATTTTCTCATGGGCTCTAACAACGTCATAGGTAGGACCCAAGGCCTCCAGACTCTCAGAGCCTGAAGCAGCAGAGATGGCAGGAAGCACAAATTCCCCACCTGGGCCACTAGGGGCGATGGTGAGCAGCCACTCTGCTTCCCTCTCTGGGTGTCTGGACCCACGTGTTCTCTCTACTCCACAGCGCCTCTCACTCCAGCCACCAGGCCTGTGTCTGTCTTCTCAGGTCTCCTTGCCCAATGGCTCCTTGAAGACAAGGTCTATTTTTCTTTCTCTCCGTCCACTCGGCACACAGCAAGGGAGCTGAGCAAGGAGAAGGGGGCTTTGTTGGCCCACATGCTCTATGCCATGTGGTCTGACTCACGCTCCTCCAACAGAACATCGAGACTGTGGTCCTAGGACCTGCTACAGGGACAGCAGGTCCGCATGTTAAATTGGGACTAGCCCTGGCCGGTGTGGTTCAGTGGATAGAACATCGGCCTGCGGACCAAAGGGACCCGGGTTCGATTTCGGTCAAGGGCACGAAGCTTACTTGCAGGCTCCTCCCCGGCCTGGGCCCTGGTCGGGGCACGTGCAGGAGGCAACCGATGTGTCTCACTCACATCAATGTTTCTCTCTGTCTTTCCCTCCCTCTTCCACTCTCCCTAAAAATCAATGGAAAAATATCCTCTGGTGGAACAATAAAATAAAATAATAAAATAAAATAAAATAATAAAATAAAATAAATTGGGACCATCCCAGGACACCAGCAAAACAAATGGCTACCCAGTTGGGGGGAGTTCCTTAGTTAAAGAGTTTGTAAAGGTTAAATAAACAAAATAAAGTAAATTTTTAAAAAGCGTTGGCACAGGTTGAGCTACCACCGGCCGCACAGGTGTGGTCAGAGAGAGGAGGGCTCCCAGGTGCTGGGCCCTGGTGAGATCCAGACTTCGAAGAGGAGGCTCATTTCCCCGCTGGGCAAGGCTCCCTGATGTGGGGTTCGGGGCTGAGAGGCAGTCGCCTGGGGTCCCAGCAGTGTCAGGTCTCCTGTCCCCAGGACCACTCTGTTCCAGCTCTGGGAGGGGGGACAGGATGGGCAAAGGGAGGGACCATGGAAAGGGCTGGGCCGGGACCAGCACCCTGGCCGCAGCCACCCCTGGACATCCTGCCTTGGCCAGAAGGGGCCTGGCAAGGACGCAGAGGCAGAGGAACTGGGAAAGGGCTGGAAACCACAGGCGTCTGAGGAACAGCGCCAAGAGGCTGCCCGGTGATGCAATTCACGGAGACAAAAACACAGAGCCCTCCAGTCCTCCCCAGGAGCAGGCATCATCCGCGTGACCTTCCAGGAACCTGCTGACAGACAGTGTTCTGTGCGCCTCTCTGCCTGGGACCTGGGGTGACTGCGAAGAGGGAGGGGCGGGAGGGGCTGGAGTGAGGCAGAGAGGAAGCCGGGGTAGGGGTGGGGGGACGGGGTGCTCGGTCCTGGCACGGGGCTCTTGGGCTCCATCTGCTGGTGGCGCGAGGAACCACACCCACCTCCCAACCAAAGTGAACAGTGTTTCTGAGAGAAGGTATGTGTGCAGAGAGAGGAACCAAAACATTCCCGCCTCTGCCCTCGCCGGTTTGGCTCAGTGGGAAGAGCTTCGGCCTGTGGACTGAAGGGTCCTGGGTTCGATTCCAGTCAAGGGCGCGTACCTCAGTGGCAGGCTCATTCCCTGGCGTGTGGGAAGGCAACCCATCTATGTGTCTCTCTCACATCGATGTTTTTCTGTGTGTGTCTCTCTCTTCTGTCCACTCTCTCTACAAATTAACAGGGTCACGGTGGGAAGCAAGGCGATTCAATTCCCCGAGGCAAGGTGTCTTTGTGGTCCTTGTGGAATCGTCCCTTTCTGAACTCCGGGGGCCGGACCAGTCCCTGGAGCACAGACACTGGCTGAGCGGATGACCGGACGAGGCCGGAGCACCTCCCTTTCCTGTCACCTGTCTGCCATGGCCCATCTGAGGCCGGGCGGCCTGTGTGCAGGTGGCGCTCAGGAAAGGCCCGGGGCATTTCTGCCTCGTATCACCCTCCAACATGACAAGCCATGATTTCAACGGTGGCAGCAATCGGGACTCAAATCCAAGCTTGTTCACAAACTAAACCTGGTTGCTGTATAAAAACAACATACACTTAAGTAGGTCTTGTACACATTGTATTTTTCAATGTTGTCTGTTAAGGACTAAATTAGTAATGTTTGCCTTGAGCATGTGGCAGGTCATTCCTTCCTCCTCTCTCTCTCTCTCTCTCTCTCTCTCTCTTTCTCTCTCTCTCTCTGACTCCCTCCCAGATAGAAGGGCATTAAAGGACAGTCCGGGTGGACTGTGCAGAATGAGGCTTTCCGGGATGTTGTGAAACAATAAAAAATTTACATCTGTAGACCCAGCGAGAGCCTACCTGCCTGACGAGGGTCCGCAGGTACATACCATAAAGGTAACTGTGATGCCGTTCAGTGTATCTTCTGCTCTCTGCTCTGGGGGCGCCTCCCTCACTCCCGGGAGGTGACTAAGTAGAAAACAATCCTACCATAGAGTAGATATTGCCACGGGGTGAGGGGTGTCAAATCCATCGCCCACCTGAAACGTTACACAACCAAAGAGGATGTATGAAGTAGGAGAGCTTGGGAGGACGACTCTGCCAGCCCCAGAAAGGTCAGCGAGGGAGGCGGGTGTGGGAATAGCACTGGGATGTATACCCGAGTTATCCCGTCTGATCAAATGCACCCCAAAACCAGGAGGCGGCTGCCGTCACCAGGCCCTGGGTAGTAGCCACGGGCTTGATTCTATCGTGCATGTGAGTCTCGGGGTGCAGCTGTCCTCCTAAGGGGGACGCCCCTCCCTGCGCTGTGACCCCGCAGCCTCGACTCCCACTGCTAGTCCGCGTGTGTCACCAAAGGCTCTGAAGTGGAAATAATAGAATGTTGACTAAATGGTCTCCATGGTCACATGTTCCCCAACTGCACACCGCAGACCAGCCCAGCCATGCTGTCTCAGGGAGTCCTGGAGGGACTCTACAGGGACCCCAGGTACACATTGAAGAATGTCCCCGCATGGACACCGTACATTCTTTCCTGTCTTTAAATTTCCACATAGGAATTGAAGGCCAAAGAAATTGACATCTAACGGATTCTTCTTTCCAATTTCTCATTTTGCTCAGTGCCAGTGAGAGGGGTTCTGGCGGACCTGGCTTTAGGATGGGTTTAGGATGGGGTTTCTTCCAGTGGGAGGATGCAACCCTGCTCATACCCGCAAAGGGGCGGAACTCCAGTGCCAAGTCTCTTGCATGTCCCATTTCTCCAAAGATTGCCCTGGCCAGTGTGGCTCAGTTGATGGGGCACCCTGGGCACCAAGAGGTCACTGGTTCAATTCCCGGTCAGGGCACATGCCGGGGTTGTGAGCTCAATCACCTGTAGGGGGCGTGCAGGAGGCAGCCGATCCATGTTTCCCTCTCACATCAATGTTTCTCTCTCTCCCTTTCCCTTCCTCTCTCTCTAAAAAAAATCATTAAGAATGTTATTTAAAAAAGAAAACATTAATTCACTGAGCTGTACTGATCTCCTAAATGTTGACACATCCCATTATACAAGATCTAAAAATCCTATTCATTGTTATAAAAAAACAAGAACACAAGATCATCGAAATACCACCCAACCCCCGGGAAAGTTAGAAAACCCAAGCCAATGCCAGGCCCTGAGGACGCACGGTGACAGGGCCTGATCGCGCGGCAGCTCCGAGCTCAGCCAGGCCCGCGGCTGAGACTTCGGGGTTCCTGGGGGAGAATAAATGGAAAATATGTGAAGAAGTTAAGTGTCCTTGGTGTCAGCCTCCCCCAAATACCAGCGAGTCTGGCCAGTCGCTGGGCGGGCTACTCTGTGAACACATACTCAACTGGAGGACTCCACCCGGAGGTTCAGGTGACGGGGGGCGGCCGCCCCCTGGACGGTGACATTCAGGCTTAGCTGTCTCCCTGCAGACCCGACAGCGCGGAAGCCGCTGCGTCCCATCAGAGGCTCCTTCTGCCTCTCACGCCTCCTCAGTTCTGTTCCCCAGAGGCCCCGGCACCCGAGGCGCAGCCACGGCCCATCTGTCCCCTCCCCTCCTGTCACCCCGTTATTCTTTTTGTTTCCTGATATCTCCACGTTGGTTTTTCCTCTGCGTTACTCAGGAAGACGGAACACCCCTCGTCCAACAGCTCCTCCCCCCCCTCCCGTGCAAAGGTCTTTATCTCAGTCTGGGTCCTTCACACCTGCGAGAACCAGAGGTTATGACGTCGGCGCTTCCAAGCCACGCGCAGCCCAGGGGCAGCTGGAGACTCGGAGACGCGGGCCCGTCGGTCTGAGGTGGGACTTAGACATCCGTGATTTTTTTAAAATATGGAACGCGTCACGAATGTGCGTGTCCTCCTTGCGCAGGGGCCAATCTTCTCTGCGTCGTTCCGGTTTCAGGATATGGGCCACTGAAGCGAGCAGGACACCCGTGATTTCTAAACATCCCTCCCTCCCATCAGGGCTACCGTCCAGCCACGGCGGACGGGCCCCGGCACTGAGGCCTGGCAGGTTCTCCGTTCCTCTTGCTGTTGTTAATCCTCACCCAAGGATACCTTCCCATTGGTTTTTAGAGAGAGTGGGAGAGGGAAAGACAGAAACATCGATGTGAGAGAAATACATCAATTGGTTGCCTCCTGCACGAGCCCCCACCAGGGCCGGTGCTCTGGGGAGGAGCCTGCAACCGAGGTACGTGCCCTTGACCGGAATCGAACCCGGGACCCCTTTGGTCCACAGGCCGACGCTCTATCCACTGAGCCACACTGGCTACAGCAGTTCTCTGTTCCCAATACTTGTCGTAGCATCAGCCACAGCTGTCATTCTGACGGGGCGCCTCTGGGCACCGGTGTCCATGCCAGCACGTGGGAGTTATCCTGGACTCCTGGGCTTTCCCCGCCCCCATAGTATGGCCTAGATTTGGGCCTCGGCCTCCCCCATCGGAGCTGCCCTACAGTCTCCCCATCCATGCCCGCCACCTGGGATCAGGCCACTATCCTCACACCCTGGGCCTCTCCCTGCTCCCGGCTGGACAAGGCCCAGCCATGGCTCCAGACTGAGTCCAGCAGCCCCACCCCCGCCCAGGAGCCCCCCCCCCCCCCCCGCCTCTACCCTGATAACACCCACCGCTCCGTCCCCCTAGAGGCACCCGCCCATCTTCCCCAGTCTCTCCCAGTTCACTGGCATTCCTGTCCCTGCACCTGCCCACCTTTAACGTACCACTTTTTTTAAAATATATTTTTATTGATTTCAGAGAGGAAGGAAGAAGGAGAGGGCGATAGAAACATCAATGATGAGAGAGGATCATTGATCGGCTGCCTCCTGCATGCCCCCTACTGGGGATCGAGTCCGAAACCCAGGCATATGCCCTTGACCTGAATCAAACCTGGGACCCTTCAGTCTGCAGGCTGATGCTCTATCCACTGAGCCAAACCAGCCAGGGATGTTTTGGTTTTATAACTGTATCAGGGCCACTGTCTTATGTTTGAATGTATTTAAGTGAAACTGTGTAAGCATAACTGAGTTCCACAGGAAGATTTTTGAAGATGACTCTATCATTCAAACTGGAGGAAAACGTCCATGGTGTTTGTCCACTGAACACGTCTGCCTGGTCCTAAGCCGTTCACCTTCTCGGGGACCACACTCTGATTCCGCGGAAAATCCACATGAAGACGATTTCGCTGCAGAGAACCTGTCTCCACCGTCATTACCTTGGCATTGTGCTACCTGAGAGCAAGAACACACACTTTCGCCCGGAACTAAGTCTCTCTCAAGGAATCGGAGGGGAGCCGCCTCGCTCGCCCAACACTGTGTGCTGTTTATTTTTAGGATCGTCCCGAAATCTGAATCAAGAACAAAAGCGAAACTGCCCGGCCACTTCTGCGAGGAAAACACATCAAGTCCCCAAAGGAATGTGTTCCTTGAAACTGCAGAGCAGGCCTCCCTCGCTTGGCCCGTCATCCGTCTCGGAAAAGGATGTTTTTACAATCAGAGCAGAAGCAGGACAGGCCGCCTGCGTGCACGCTTCTTTGTTGCGCAATGACTGTAACTTGCTCGGATTCCAGCGGCGGAGAAAGCAGCAACGGCGGTGTGGTTACTCTCCAAAGTGAAACTTAAAACCACAGCCTCCGGTGCACAAAAGGCAGAATGAGTCACCGGAAGAGGCCACTTGCTTGCAGAACTCATTAAAAGCCACGCCGGGCTGAATGGACTTCCTGCCCCGTGCAAGGATCCCGGGAAACAGCACAGCCCCTCCAGGCCCCGACCGTGTGGGGTGTGGGGAAGGGAGAGCCGTCGAAAGCTGGGCCCAGCCCGGGTCCTCCGGCTCCCATGTGCTAGGCTGCTCGGCCCGGCCTGTCGCAGGCAGTCCCCCTCCCAGGCAGGCCCTGCTGCCGCCGAGATGCCCAGGAAGGTGGCTCGGGCCGGCTGCTGGGCACCTGGGGCTCAGGACACCTGGGGACTCGGGGGGAGCCCCTGCGTGGGTTTCCAGGGGCCTCCCTCCTTCAGCAGGTCCTTTCTGTCGCCCTGGCCAGGCCCGAGTCAGATGCCAGCTGCCCCTGGACGCGCAGCTCCTGGGGACCAGGGCCCGGGCCTCAGTGTGCCTCTGGAAGCCGAGCCAGCACCGGCATCTGGGAGGATGTATCCACACAGGTGGGCCCCACACCCGGGTGGATTGGAAAGGTCCCGGGTGGGGCCAGGGACTTGCATTGCTAACAAGCCACGGATGCAGGCACTGCAGGCCCCAAGACGACGCTTTGAGAACCACCCGTCTTAGGCCTGAATGTCAAACAGCCGCCAGCACCTCCCTCCTCCACGCCAGTTCGTGATGCTGACCTTGAGTGGTGCCAGTTGGAGGCCCTGTGGTGCCCAGGCCGTCGGGGGAAGGCGCTCCTCCCCTCCCCCGGCAGGAGCCCACCACTCACCTGGCTGGCGTCCAGGGCCCGCGCTCCGGGAGGGGCCTCTATCAAGCCTGGATCATGTTTTCAAAGGCTTTGCCTTCAAACCAAATGGAGTGTGCCCCCAGGTGGCCATGGGGAGCCACTGGCTTTCAGGGCCAACTTTTTGTTGTTAATTCTCACCTGGGGATATTTTTCCATTGATTTTTAGGGAGAGTGGAAGAGAGAGGGAAAGGCAGAGAAACACATCGATTGGTTGCCTCCTGCACGACCCCTGACCAGGGCCTAGGCCGGGGAGGAGCCTGCAACCGAGGTACACTCCCTTGACCGGATCGAACCCGGGACCCCCTTTGGTCCACAGGCTGACGCTCTATCCACTGAGCCAAACTGGCCGGGGCCAGGGCCAACTTCTGTCTGGTTTCCTTCCAGGCACCAAGCCCTCGTGCAAGGGGGGTGACACGTGCCTCCTTCGACTGCAGCAGGAGCGGGAGAAGGGACCAGAGGCGGGAAGGCGGCCCTGGTGGCATCCTAACCACTTTCCCTTCATTCAGGGCTGGGAGGGATGTCCTCCCGCCGGCCCGGGCCCACGGGAACGGCAGCCCTGCTCTCACGTCGCCCCTCTGGTCTGGACACAAAACAGGCGTGCAGAGGGCGCCGAGGACTGGGTGGCAGGGACTGGCGGCTGTCCTGGGGCAGCAGCTGGGGCAGCGCTCCTGTTAGAAGCGCACACGCAGGTTCCAGAAGTCAGGTTCTCTTCATTGTTCAAAGGAGCCCGCCTAGCTGCCCTGCATGCCTCTTCTCCCGCCCCTGGATGGCGACCCGGCTCACACATGACCTTCTGCAGGGACCCAAGCCGATGGCCACTCGTCAGTGTTCCTTGGCTTCCGACGAAAGGGATGGCGAGGCTGGGGGGTGGGGGTGGGGGTGTCGGCTTTGAAAGCCAGGATAAGGAGTCTTTTCCGTATTCGGGTGTTGGCAGCTGAGACCTGGAAAAACTCCACCCGTGGAAGAGTTTCCCTGCGTGCGAGAGCTGCCTGCACGTGCAAAGGAGAATGCGTCGCCCAGCGGTGCCCTGGGGAGGGCGTGGGCATCTCAGGGCCCACGACGACGACGGACAGTCAGGCTCCCCTTTATTTTACAGGTAGGAGAGCCGACCATCGGAAACCGTGTGGGAGTGAGTCTGCGATGTGCAGCCGGAGGAGAGGGTCTGCTGTGTCTCCCATGCACACGAGCGTTCATTCTAGGGGGACGCTGGGTCTGGCCGCACGAGCAGCCCAGCCCGGAGCCCTGGCGGCCAGCTTTTATACATACAGGGACCATGGCTCTTACATTTGTTCCAAAAGCACCGGCTGGCACAGGTAGGTCAAGAGGATGTCTCTGGCACAGGGACCAGGCACAAACCCAGAGGAATGGCGACGGCTTTCAAGTGACGTGGGTGAATGAGGCAAGGGCTTGGATTGGTCCAAAATGAAAAACAAGCCCGGCCCGCATGACTCAGTGGTTGACCATCGACCTATGACCCAGGTCACAGTTGATTCCCGGTCAGGGCACAGGCCTGGGCTGCGGGCTCCATCCCCAGTAGGGCGCGTGCAGGAGGCAGCCGGTCCATGATTCTCTCATCATGGATGTTTCTCTCTCTCCCTCTCCCCTCCTGAGATCAATAACAAAATATGAATAAAATAAAGTTCACACTGACTTTCAGAAGCCTTTCACGGGTCTCTTTTATTCCAAGTTCCTAGCTCTGCATCCAGCACAACACAAGGAGTACCACAATGATGCGTATCGTTTCCCAGCACATACGCACACATGAGGTGCCGAAGCAGCACCGGTGAAAGCGGGGAGCCTCACCCAAACCGGCAGAGGGACGTCTCTGCACGTCCTCATGTCTCCGTGCACCAGGCCTGCGTTCCCCGTCGCAGCAGGAACCCTGGGCGACGCCCCTGAGGGACTCCTCCCCGCAGGCGCCCTGATGCCTGGGCACAGGCGCACTCAGCACGGCCCGCCTGCGGGGTGCGGGGCGGTGGCTGTGAACACAGACAAGCCCACACGCACGCGCGTGCACGTCCCCCACGTGCCAGTCTCATTTTCCCAGGCCACGGCCGGTGTGACCGTGACAGATGTGACCTGGGCGGGGGTCACTCTCTGAACTGGACCCAGATCCAGGGCGACTCTCTGGGAGGCGTGCCCGGATCACGTGCCGTGGGGCGGACGCCCCGGGTGACGCGCTCACACCTGCAGGTGGCACGGCCAGCGCTGCTCGTCCTGGCGGGGCGATGGCCTGAGGGGGTGCCCCCTCTCCCCCAGCCTCGCTCTCCAGTGGAGGAGGAACGAGACTCAGGTCACAGCAGCTACAATTCACCCCGAACACCCTCTGGAAGAAAGAATGAGTGCAGCTTCCAAAGGAGGCCAGTGCCCACGCCCAGAGCTCGGGCAGGACCGTGTTTCATCACGTCTCGTGCCTCCCGAGGGGCTCTGTGGGTGCGTGTGTGCGTGATTCCATGCAAAGGGGATGCCTTTCTGTGGGGCCACAGCCATTCCCCAGGGGCCTCGTCCCAGAGCCGCCGCCTGCCGCCTGCCGCGCAACCTCGTGTCTCTTTCACAGAAAGAGTCAAGTCCATGGCCTGCCCCACAGTGCGGCCTCCTAGGACTCTAACAACAGCATCTGAAGAGGAAAGCACTTCAACCACCGGAGGAAAACGCTCTTTAGAAAAATAATACTTCAAAAAATAAAGCAAAATCTTTTACCAAAATAACTCTTTAACTTTTCAAACTGTTCTCTCGATAATTTGTTTATATAAACAAGAGAGTCCATCTCCCCATGGCTTAAAGAATGGCCCTCCAGCCGTGACTCATCCACGTGCCGTGCCCTGACCTGAGTGGGAAAAGCTGAGAAAAATAAAAAGGTCGGTGTGGTGAGATTCGAGAACAAGGCTCTGGGTAGTCCAACGTACATCTTCTTAATGTATCAGTGACCGTTATCGTAGAAAGACTATGGCTAACTGCTTAAAACAATAACCAATCAGAGTAAAGTAATAAATAATATCTACAAAGAATATAATTTAACTTCTTGAAACGATTTTCTTAAAACCAAGCAGCTTCGTTTGAGAGCTTCCCGTGGAAACCGGCATCACAGCCGTGCGGCATCGGCTCCGTGCCAGCCGCATGCCCAGCTCCGCCTGCCGGAGGCGAGGCCGCGGCCGAGGGCCGGCCTGACGGGAAACACTGCCCCTCACACTCCCTCGGGCCTGAGCTTAAGGCTTCAGTTACCGGGAGCTGGACAAAGCACATTCCAGAGAACACGCCTGCCAGGTGCATTAAGGCATAGATAGTCCAGCGTGAGCCACAAAAAGGGGGTGGGGAGGGGCCAGTGACGTCGGTTCTCTAATCGAAGTATAAAGAAGAGCTTGTCACCTAAAACTAGACCGTCGGCAAATACTGCAAGGGACACCCACAGGGCCAGGCCCTTCAGAGACCCCAGATCCAGGTCACATGACCCAGCATGTGCCCCCCACCCCCGACCCCCACGGGGAACAGAAGATGGGTGGGAGCCACCACGGGGACGTGTGCCCCTCTCCACGTGGCGCGCACCTGGCGACCTCGGGGGCACTGTCCCCAGCAGGGACCAGGCGCCAGCTCTGCTGGGCTTCACAGGGACATGCTGCCCAGTGACCGGCAGGCGGGTAGGGCAGCGTGGTCTCTGGCTTTCAGCCACAGCGAGGAAAGGCCCCCACACCACCCCCCCCCCGGAGTGCACCCGACTCCTCGCCCAGGATGTGCACCCTGGTACTTGACTTAGAAACGCCAGCCCCGGGGAGCGGGAGGAGGGTGCACCCCAGCTCCCTGCGCTCAGGCAATGACCGCACGCGGCTCCCGAGCTCCCTCCTGGGCTCCCACAACCGATCCTTTAATGGGCGGCCGGTCTTGGCTGACGCGGGCGGCTGCGGGGCGTCACGCCGAGGCAGAGTGGACGTCCTGGTTCTCGAACGGGGGCAGCGGCTCCCGCCAGAAGGTGAAGTCACTGAACGTGTCTGAGCAGGGGAAGTCCGAGGAATGGCTCCTCTTCAGCAGCGGGAAGACGTGGTCAACCACTTCACAGAGCCTCACGTACCTGGAAGGACACGGACAAGGTCACCGCCCGCCAGGGACGCCAGCCCAGGGCAGCACCTGCCACGCGCCGAGCTCGGAAACCAGGAGCGACCCCCGGGCCTGAGGCCGGACCCCGGGGCTAATGCTGCGGAGGGCGCTCTGGAATAGGCCTCAGTCATCAGCAGGCGGCCGCAGGGAGCGCCAGCAGGATGAGAGAAGGCCCCGGGCGAGGCACCGGCCTGCCGAGGCAGGAAGGACCCCGGAGGCGGAGCTGCAGGACAAGAGGAGTCAGCAGCAGAGGCCAGCGCCCTGCGGAGCTCACGTGTGCACGTCATGGGAGGGAATCGGCCTCTGGAGCATGGCGAGCCCAGGCCTCTGTGCGGTGGGAAGGCGCTGGGCCCTGGGCTAAGGACGTGGACTGGACCTTCCGCTGCCATGTACCAGCTGCGTGGTCTGGGGAAATGGATCCCCCACCCCCCCCCTTCCTGCTTGGAGCCTGTGGCCGGCCCTCCCTCCCTGGGCTCAGTTCCGAGCATGGACTTGAACTAGGCCCTGCTTCTCAGTGCTCCCTGCAGGCCCCTCACTCGCTTCTGTGATCCCCAAGAGGCCGGAGCATCTTCGTTTCCGTGGCCTGAGCTCCGAAAAGAAAGCTGCTGCGCTGACGCATTTTCAGGCTCCGGTGCCTCCCAGCAGACACCGTGACCCACCCGGGCCTCTGCACACCGAGCCCCTCGCGGCCACCGGGTCCCTCTCCAGCACCAATTTGCTGAGAACCCAAAGGGGCTTTCCCAACACCCCCCTCGAGGAAGCGGCCTGCCCGAGGCATGAGATGACTTATTGGACAAGAAGGAGCGCCTGTGTCCAATCAAGGCCCTCCCAGGGCTTCTGAGAGCATGGAGCTCGCAGGACACAAAGCATCTCCCTTCACAGCGAGAGGCTGTCTTTCCTGGGGACTGAAGCCAATGTTCAGACCTCCTCCTGGCCCTGAGACCTACGCGTGTGAGTTCTGTGGCCAGGGGAGGCGGCCGTACCCCGGGGAGCAGGTCACCGCTCGCCAGCAGGGTGGGCCTGCCTCGGAACGCACTGTCAAGGTCAGGAGAGAGTCTGCAGCCCCCCAGGCTGCCTCGTTCCAGGCCCCCCGCCCAGCCCTCTGCCTCCGGGAAAGGCGTGGCCACAACCCCGGGAGGAACCCGGACGATCACACAGCAGTGACTGTGAGATGGCGCTCCGGCCAGAATGCGCCTCATCCTGAAATACAGTGTCATGTGAGAGTCCGTTTGGTTACCCTTTTAATTCGCCTTCTAGGCTTTTCGGCCCAACTTGGCAAATCAAAACCACTCGTTTTCAAATTCATGCAATTCCACTCCGGAGCAGCCTGTAACCGCCGGTTTCAGTGTTCCACCCAGAGGGGACCTGATTTAATCCAGATTGTCCAAACATTACGTTTTGGGCAAAAATACGAGGAGTGAAAGCATATTTTCCTTGCAGGGATTAAAGATTAAAATATAGGCAACCGAAGGACCCAAAGGAATACCGTGAACGGTAAGAGGCCACTCCCACACCACCCTGGCCACGGCGGCGGCGGCCGCGGCGACCCTGGCCGGCGCGGGGACTCACGAGGAGATGTTGGTCTTGGCGTGCTCCTGCACCAGCTCGCCCTTGGGGTTGACGGTGAATATTCGGTTCAAAGACACTCCTACTTGCTTGTACGAATACACGTCCTACGTTGGGGAAAGGGTTGGGAAGGAGTGAATACAGACACAGGACCTCCCCGACTGGACGCAATGCTGCGCCGTCTCATGAACCAGCACTACGCTCCCCACCCGTGTGGGAAGAGTGTTTGGGCGTGAACGTGACACCAGCTTTCCCCTCTGGGCACCGTGAGGGTCTATGCAGCAAGGGAGTCAGAGGGTGGACCGCCTGGCGGGCTCCCTGCACCCTGACACTCCTGAAGGTCGCTCTCTGGCCCGTCTTCTTCGCACGTAGGAGAACTTTCTTACTGTGAAGTTACTCCCCGACTCGATTCTCTAACGCTGAGCTTTCCAGCAAACGGGGGCAGCGACACCCAATCCCACGGGGTTTCTCTCACCGTGTGGAACAGCACGGCGGGCCCTGGTCCACCGAGGACACGCTCCCAGGCCCCAGTGGGTGCCTGAAACCTCGGAGGGTACCCAGCCTACAGAGGCCACACTGTCCCTGTGCACGCGTACCTCTGGTTACGTGAACTTGGTAAGTGAGGCACAGGAACAATAATAACCCAGGATAACGGAGCAAGTGCAGCGGTGCATGGCAACAGGGAAAGTGGCGTGAACGGGCATTCTCAGTAAAACGGGTGACCTGAACCCCAGCACTGCAACACCGCACGCCGGTCTGACCACCCGACGGCTGAGTGACTGGCCTAATGGGCGAGGCGCATCCACAGTGTGAATACACGGGGGGGGGGGGGCGGGGGGGGGGCCCCCCCGCGGCCGATGCCTCCCGGGCGGGGCGGGGCGGGGCGGGATGGGACTCGGGAGATTTCATCTCGCCGCTCAGAAAGGTGAGCGAGTTAAAACTTGTGAGCTTGCCCTGGCCAGTTTGGCTCAGTGGATAAAGCGTCGGCCTGGGGACTGAGAGGTCCTGGGTTCGATTCCAGTCAAGGGCATGTACGTTGGTTGCGGGCACATCCCCAGTAGGAGGTGTGCAGGAGGCAGCTGATCGATGTTTCTCTCTCATCGATGTTTCTAAATCTCTACCCCTCTCCCTTCCTCTCTGTGGAAAATCAATAAAATATATTTTTTTAAAAAAACAAAAAAACTTGTGAGCTACTTCCGGACGTTTCCATGGAGCGTTTTCCGACTGCGGCTGATCACAGTTACTGAAGCCACGGAGAGCGAAGCCGCGGGTAAGCGGGGGCTGCTCTGCTCTGGAAACCGACTCCCCGCGGGGCTGAGGGCTGGCTTCGTGGTCCCCGTGTGGGAGGAAGCGGCTAATCCTACTCCGTGTTCCTGTTTTACCAATTCAGCAAGCAGTTCCGAACTTAATGTGTCTAGTCCCACATCTCATGCCTCAAACGGAAATGCACCAGCCCGCCTGCGGGAAAGCCAGAGGCCGTGAGCAAGGGGAGTCTCCCCGCCTCGGGCGGAGGCAGGTGGCTTTCCCGGCGCCTCCTGGCGGGTGGGGGCTGGTCTCCCACCGTCCACTCCGGGCAGCCGCCCCCGTGGCCACTGTCAGCTGGCAGGACCCCCAGAGCCCACACCCCCGTCCTACTCACAGCCGGCCGGTTTCCAAAAGCAGCGTAGAACGGTTCTGTGTTTGGGAAAAACAGGTTTCTGATGTCTGTCAAGCACTGGACTTTAAACTTTTCTGGCTTCTTTTCAATCACCTCTCTGTCAAAACACACACACACACGGCGGGTCAGCGTAAGGACTCGCTCCATCGCGTCAGGCTCTCCTTAACCCTCCAAGACGCACGGGACCCGAGGACACTGGTCTTGGGAGGTTAACCGTGTGCGGGTCAGCCCCGCTCTCCCAGGAAAGCACCAGGCAGGGAGGGAACCCCTACTTGCAGTCTCCCCAGAGAAAAGGCTCAGGACACGTGACTTCACCCGAGACCTCGACCAGTCATCCAGGGAGCAAAGAGCTGCCTCCAGAGCAGGAGGGAGGGGAACACCTGGGGAGGCCTGCACACCCTCAAAGCCCATCCAAGAGGAAAGGCCTCAGCAAAGCGGGAGCCCGTCTCGTTGGTGAACGCCAGTGCCCGAGTCCTAAGGACCTTACGCTCTGACCTGCCTAAGGGAGGCCCTGAGTAACGAAGGAAGTGCACCGCATGACTGAACCGGAAGATGGGTCCCAAGGAGGCAGGAGTCTCCCTACACTCATCCACCTGCAGATTCGCTGTAACTTCAATCAAACTCTCAGCAGGTTCTGCCTCCCGGGAGGCCAGAGCCCGGCTTGGCTGCCTTGAATACAGCCGAGGGGGGGGGCGGGGGAGGGTGGAGGCAAAGACTGGCTAGTGGTCAGCGGCAGGTCCACTAGAATGAAGTGACCGGAACTCCCCCAGAGGGTGAAAACGGGAGACGGGGCCAGGTGAGCGGTGGCGTCTGGGACAAGGGCCATGGAACCCGGCCTAGGTCCCCGAGGAGATGGACCGCAAGCTGATTCTCTAAGACTTGGTGGGACCATGTGGGGAGGGAAAAGGGTGAGGGGGTGGCGGGCCCCCCACAAAAGGGGAGAGCACCCCTCTGCCAAGTGGGGACACGGGAGAGGAGGCAGCAGGTCACGGACTGTCACACGACGCCGAGCCCAGGAATCGGCCCGTCCACTGTCCACTGAGCCCTGGTGACCACGAAGGGAGCGGGCAGGCCCGCCTGCATTTGGGGATGACTTTTCCGGTGCCCACGATGGAGTGGGCAGGTGGCTGGGAAGAGCGTTAGGAGGCTGTTCCTGCTGACCCTCCAGGGAGGGGAGAGGGCCGCCCGGGCCGGCCTGGAGGCGGGGAGCGCACCTACCTGTGCAGGGCGGAGAAGAGGCTGCTGGGGGACAGCAGCAGGGGCCCCTGGGGCAGCACGGTGCCCCTCTCGTTGACCCAGTGCAGGTAGCCCCTCGTCATGTCCGCCATGCCGATGGCCCGCGCGGAGCAGTACAGGAACTTGTACCCGTTCCTGAAAGAGACAGGGCGTGTGCTGAGCCATCGCACGGGGACGCGCCTGCACCCACCCCGTCCTGCTGCCCGTTCTGACGAGGTCATGGCTCCCTGAGGGGCGAGGCGCCCGCACCTAGGACAGCTCCGGGCACAGCGGCTGGTGCCGGCTGGCGACCTCAGCTACTAGTAAATGCTCGGGGTTCTGACCCACGTGTGGCTGGGCAAGCCACGCCCAGCTGTCCACACATGCCCTGCCCGCAGCCGCACAGCCCGCAGCAGGTCAGTCTGGGCTCGCAGTGACCTCAGGGTCGCCCAGCTTGTGTCCTCGTTTCAGAGATGAGATCACAAGCTGGGAGTGGTGACGAGGTCCGAGTGTCTACAGCGAGCTGCGTTGTCACCTCAGAACCCAGGGGCCCCGACTCCTCCCGGTCACAGGCCCCTGCCTCACTGGTGGAGTGGTGACCGCAGGAACCCACGAGGCCCGAGGGGAGAGGAGCGACAGCCTGGGAACAGTCAGTTCCCCTCCCTCCTCAGTGTCCCGGCTGCAGAGGGCTCCCACCTGAGGCCCCGACGGGCTCGTCCATCTGAGGACACGATGACACTCACTCCTGCTAACTCTCAGACGCTGACTTCCGGTTACAGGAATAAAAAATTTACACCGAGTAAGGCAGGAACTCAGACAATACTCGTTCAAATGTGGCGCCCGAAGCACCCGCTCGCTCAGTGGCCTAGGTATTTCAGGAAACATCCTTCTATTGAACGTATTTGAGAGTTTCACGTGCCTTCCCTTTGTACCTGTACAGTTCTTTTTAATCAATAACCAAGCAAGCTTTTGCCATCAATACCCTCTGTGAGCCAGGTGTGATCAGCCTACAGCTCATTCCTCACAGGCTGACCATATCAGACAAGTCGTTACGTTCAGCAAAAAATAAACAAGGAGAACTGCTGGGTGTCCTGTGTCTCTGGGCCGGCAGCGACCTGCCAGACCGGGTTCCCTCAGCCTGCCTGCAGCGCCTCACATTTAAGAGGGACCCTGTTCAAGGTCAGCAGAGCCAGGGAAGAGGAACAGTCCAATCCTAACTCCAGTGGCAGCTCCTCCTGGGTCTCGGGCTGCGAACCCTCCCTCTAAGCATCTCTGGGCGACCACGAATGTGACACCCAAAGAAATGGCCTGGACTCACTCACCCACGAGCGAGTCGCACGGGGTCCGGGAGGCAGAGACCACGCCTACCTCATCGTCCCCCAGCCCGTCCCAGGGCCCGCACGCCACGGGCACGCAGTGACCGCTGGGCGATGAAGGAACGAGGGCTGTCTAGGCTCACTAATCACCTCCTTGCTTGTCTCTGGGTACTGGCCTCGGGGTTCCCTCCGCCACCCCCGCTGACGCCCAGGCAGAGGCACGCCCCTCGGCCAGTCACCCACCATCAGCATCCCGTGCTCCGCGTGCGGGAGTTGGGGGGCGGGGGGCCCGCTCTGTACTTACTGGCTCACTTTGTGGTACAGCTTCGCGATGCCCTGGTGGGTCCAGTCCTTCCCCAAGGTGGGCAAAATGTGGCCCAGAGTGTCTGACCTGCGTAAGGAGAAAAATGAGAAAAGTAACAGAGAGAGGGCGTCGCAACAGGGAGAACACTTCCGTTCCAACTCACGGCACCAGGAACGCCTCAGGGAACTGCCAACAGGACCCACGCGGTCTGGCCGGGGGCCCAGGAGGCATAGACCAGCACGAACCCCAGGAGACGCTCATGGGAAGGGGCCACGCTAATACTCGAAGAGCCCGCCCACCTGAGCGAGGATCGGGGTCTGGACCGTAACCGGCGTGAAGAGGCCACTGAGCAGGCTCTTCAGCCCCGTCCACGAGAACAGGAGGCGCCACCCCCCGGGCAGGCACGGCCAGCGAGCCCTACAGGAGCTGCTGGGCCCAGGCGGCGGGGACCCCCGAGCAGCCCCTGCACAGACACTGGGCGGGACAGGCCCCCGATGCCACAGGCAGAGGACGGAGGGGCTGGCGCAGGCCCAGGGGTCACGGTGACGTCGGCCGGACCCACCTGGTGATGGTGCCGTCGATGTCGGAGATGATCACCTTATCGTCCCAGTTCCACAGGTAGATGGTGCCCTCGCAGCGGCAGGTGCCTTGGTACTGGGTGGTGACGCTGAACACCACGTCGTTGGGGCCGTTCTTCAGCTTCAGGCTTTTCTGGAAGACACAACGCGTCCTCCTGAGGGGAGGCCCAGACGGGGGCTGCTGGCTCGTTTCACGAGAAGCGGGGTTAGGAGTTTTGGGGTTTATTTGGAAAAGAGGTGAATTTTTTTATTATCTTTGTTGCTGAAAGTGTTACAGATGCCCCCTTTTCTTTCCCCATTTACCCCTCCTCCCCACTCCTGCCCCCTCCGAGGCTCCCGCACTACTGTCTGCCATGGGTGTGCATATGTGCAAATAAGATCTTTGGTTATCTCTCCCCCCGCCCCCTTCCCTCTGAGATTGGTCAGTCTGTCCCACGCGTCCACGTCTCTGGATCTACTTTGTTCCTCAGTTTATTCTGTTCATTAGATTCCACATATGAGTGAGATCATGTGACACTGGTCTTTCTCTGACTGGCTTATTTCGCTCAGCATGATGCTCTCCAGGCCCGTCACAGGTAGATGGTGCCCTCGCAGCGGCAGGTGCCTTGGTACTGGGTGGTGACGCTGAACACCACGTCGTTGGGGCCGTTCTTCAGCTTCAGGCTTTTCTGGAAGACACAATGCGTCCTCTGAATCTGTGCCCGGGGCCCTGAGCAGGGCTCGCTCCCGTCCTGCTAAGGCGGGAGGCTCCTTCCAGGCCTGGGGATGAACGCATGTCTCTCACAGTGCAAACACCCAAACACCTGGTCTGGCCTGTCCGTCACCCACACCTCAGGGTGAATGCGCTGCACCTCCTCCCGCACATGAAACAGGAGTGTCTGGGGCTGCGTCAGAGCAGGTGAGGGGAGGCGACACTGAGGAGCCGGCCGGGACCGTGCGCATCGGGGCAGAGACACGGGATCCCAAAAGGGCAGCGGGTGCTCTGGGATGCCAGCGCGGCAGGAAGCAGTGGGAGCCTGAGCGGAGGGACGCCCAGACCATCGCGTGCGAGTCTGAGTGGCCGTGCCTCGGCTGGGCTCGCCACCAGGCCAGGGCCACGCGCAGGCCAGGGTCACACACAGGCCAGGGAGGACGGAGCCGCTCACCAGCTGCTCCGACGTGAGCCGCAGGGTCTTCTTGTAGCCGACGTTGGACATCAGGGGCATCAGGGGGGCGCTGGACGGCCTGGCGGCTGAGTGCTCCTCATCGCTGGAGGACGACTCCTGCTTCATTCTAGAACACAGTGATGTCGTCACCAATGAGGACATGCGTCTGGGTGGCCATGAAAACCGCTTTCGGCCGGAACCCATGGCAGGCTCGGGGTCTCCCCTGAGCGCTGCCTCGCGTGGCCACTCACCAGAGGCCACTGCGGGTACCAACAAGCCCACTAAACCCCTCCGCACGCTCTCGCACTCAAGGGGCTGCTCTCCCAGCCACGACCTGTCACCAGCTACCATCGCTCTACGAGGCGCCAAGAGGCCCTCTCCCCGAGAAGCAGGGTCGGACCCCCTCGCCTGGAAGGACGCGCACATTCCCCGCTCCCTCCCCCCACCTCCATCCCACCGAGGCCGCGGGACAGGCGCCTGGAGTCTGAATTTCTACCCGTCAACTGATGAGCCCCCTGGGTCTCCTCTCCACACCCACAACGTCAAGTAACTAGGGACTCTGGGGCCCCCCAGTGATGCCAGTGAAGACGGAGGACTCGCCCCTCCCGGAGTCCCCGAGCGGGCCGTCCCGGGAGCAAGGCGCCTGGCTGGGGGCCTGCACGGAACCCACGCGAGGCTCCTGCTCCTCCGGACGCCCGTCTGGGGCTGGGAGGTGCGGGGGGAGCAGGTGCCTCTTCTTTAAATGGCTCACAGAAAGCGCGTCACCTTCAAACACAGTGTCATCGGGGCCCCACAGTGTCATCGGCCCAAAGGCGAAATCAGGCCGTTTCCTGCCTGCCACCTGCCCAAGTTTCTATTCCCCACAGTGAACTTAGAAATGTAACAGTTTGGGAGATGGCGTTGGCCAGGAGGGAGTCTGAAGACTTGAACTCTAAGCCCACCTCTCCTACGAAGCAACAACATACTGGGGGCATCACATCAGCTCAGTGACCGCCCAACCACCTCGATGAAGAGCCTGCCATGTGAAGGCAGGGGCTGGGCCTCCCAGGCACAAAGAGGATCAGGACTAGGATATGCATCTCGCCTTCAGTTAACTGTGAGCGTTCCCTGCCCGCTGAGTAGTAAGAAGCGCCATCCCGCTGCCGACGCCGGGAGCACGGCCAGGCCAGGCGATGGCAGGAGGGGTGGGACCCGCTCTCAGTGCCCATACACAGCAGCCGCAGCGTGAGCGGCCATGGCACTGCCCGCGGAGCAGAGCTACCCGATCCCACAGACAGATCAACTCGCAGACGAAACTCGGCTAACGCTGGCCGGCGTTACCGACATCTCACGCCTCCGATGCCAGGCTCACAGGGACCCACGTCGCACGCAGAAAGGCAGCAGCCTAAGTCCTGGCGTGGGGACCACAGAGGACGGCCGCTTCCTCGGGAGGAAAGGGACTGCCCCTGTCGGCCATCGCCGCCGCCAGTGTCACCGCTGCTCTCGCGCGGCCAGAACCAAGAGTGCGCTGGTTACATTCCACCACGTCAGCCTGACGCTGATTCTGGAAATCAGTATCTAAGGGAGCAACCGTCTCCATCTGATTGGTGGGAAGCCTAACACACTGCTCCACGTCCCTCAACAAACGACAGCCGGTGGGACCCAGACCCGCCACCGGGTCCACCGGGTCCAAGGCCGTGGTGCTCGGCGAGCACTGTGCCAGCAGCACCCACCAGGCCTGTGCCCTGGCCCGGGAACCGGAAAGGCGCTGCCACCCCAAGCCGCCTGGCACGGTACCTGGTGGCCATGCTGAGCGGCGGCGGCTGCTCCCCGGTGCTGTGGCTCTCGCCAGCCAGGCCCTGCTCCGGCTTACTTTCCTGGAGAAGAAAGGAGATCAGGGTGCACCACAGAGAAGCACCAGAACGGGGCTGGGGGCCCCGATGGGCACCCCCTGAGCCCAGGCCAGGGCCCAGAGCCTTCCCCACGGCACGGCCCGGGCAGGCAGGGCCCTGCGAGCCCTCTGCACGTAGGCACACACTGAAGCTGAGAACAGAAGTGAGTGTTCTCCACCAGTGTGTGTGGACCGAGCCACACTTCATCATCGCTGTAGCTTCGTGCAAAGGCGGCATCGAGGGCTGCTTGGAGACGCGAGGGCTCTCAGAATGTGTCCTCATAACTGCTGACAGAGGCGCCTGAAATATTCTCACACCGTATTTTCTTGGGAAAATGTGGACACAGTCGCTCTTTCTCAATGCTGCCTACTTTTAATAGAAAACGTTCCGATGGACCGGGGCGCCCCGGGATTCTGAGGGATCTGGGCCGGTCCCCTTCTCTCACGTAGGATCCGGGGGAAGTCACGGAGCCCCAGAGCCTGGCCTCCCGCCTGTGAACCGGGAGGGGACCTCCACCCCTAACGCTGCCCCGAGGGCTGCGATGATGCGGGTGAACACAGCGCCAGCCCACAGCCACGAGGAAAGGAGACGCCACGCACCACGGGCCAGGGGAGGTCAGAGGCCGGAGAGGAGTGTCAGAGGACAGAGGATGTTCAATTCGGTCTCATTTGTGGTCATCTGCTCAGGGGGTAGGTTAATTTTTAATATTTAAAAAAATATCTGATATAAAAAATATAACAGCAGGTGAGCATCTCAACATAGGATGAGTTCTAAGTACTTTGAAACATTCTTTAGCTTTTTCTAGGCACACAAATAATCGGTGTGATAACATGCCCGGTAATTTTTCATCTATTTGTGGAGGCAGGTAATTCAGTATTAACGATCCTTTGTTAGTCTGGTTGCTAAATAGCTATCGATCTGAAATAAGTACATTTATTTTAGAAATATTTAATGTCCTAATTATTCCTTATTTCATGCTGGCGCTCCCCTCAACCCAAACTGGTGAGAAACCGGATACTCTACAATGAACAGGTCTCTGAAGTAGCCGTCTGCCTAAATCCTAAACAGGCTGCCCTCCTGTAGGGACCTAGAGAGGCCCCCAGGCTCTCTGTCTCCTGAGGTAAAGCACGTGTTTGTTCCAAGCTGGTTAGGTGCCTTGGAAATAGTGGAACAGTCAGTAAGCTCAGGTCTGCGAGCAGGAGACGGCGGAGAACAACTTCATCTCCATAAGGTCCTCCCACACCTCCTCCCTCTGAACTAACGGGACAGAACTTGAGCTACTGAGGTTGCTTTTACTCTTCTAACCACCAGCCTGGCCATTGTCCTTGGGGTTTCTTCCAAAAGCGATCAGCATTCCCCCAACGAGTATCTGCCCGACCCCCGCTCTGGGTCCCAGTGGATACCGGGGACACCCAGGAATCAAAGGCACATGGTCTCGGCCTGCCTGGGGGTAGGGGCCTACAGGGGAAAAGGTGTTCATCCAATACCCACACTAATATGTGTATAATTACAAACCCTGACAAAGTCATGAATGAAGGAAAAGTTCACAGGCCTGGCTCTGAGAGCAGCAAAGAGCAGAGCAGACTAATCTGCCAGCTAATTCAGTGAAGAGGAACGAGAAGGGTCCTAAGAGCACTAGGCAGAGGAAACACCACGTGCAAAGGTCCTGGGGTAGAATGTGCTTTCAGCCAGTGACGCTTAAGCCCAGAGGACGGGGGAGAGAATGCAAAAGATGAGGCTAAAGAGGGAGCAGGGACTAGGGTACCCAAATCTTGTGACCATGTTAAGGACAGGGGTCTTAATTAGAACCCTGGGAACCCACCACAAGGCTCTAAGACGGGAGCAGCATAAACTGTACCAGTCTCCTAAAGAGAACACTGTGATTACAGTATGAAGGATGGAGAGAGGGCAAGAACAGACCCAAGCAGTTCATTTGGAAGCGATCCTGGGAGAGATCACGGCAGCCTCGATGTGTGGGAGTGAAGGTGGAGAGAACTGGAAAATCTGAGAAATACTTAGGATGGTGAGTGGTGGACCTGGCGGGGGACGGAAGTGAGAGTGAGGAAAGGGAAGTGTCGAGCCTGTGGGTGGGCAGCGACCCCACTTTCTGAACATGGTCCAGCGAAGAAACTGGCAGGAAAACTGTGAGCTCAGTATTAAAAACGACAGGCCTGAGGTGTCCTGGAGCAATCGCATGGAGATGCCTACCTAGTTGGCCACTTGCTAAATGGGCATCGAATATAAAAGAATGTCTGGTCTGGAAATGAAACGGGGTCCTCATGGGGGCGTGGGTGAGGCTGCCCAGGGAGAAGCAGGCAATCAAAGCGGGAGAGGGGACCCCAAGACAACCCTCGAGAACCCTCGTGGGGGGCTGAGCCCGAGGGGAAAGCCGGGGACACGTGGCATGAGAGCAGAGAGAATGATGGGAGGACAGGCTGGGAGGAAGATGAAGGTCTGAAAACAGGGACGAATTTACAGCGATGGAAAGCAAAGCCACGTGTACCCTGACACCACTAAACACTTGGAGTGCGGGTGAATTTCCCGCCAAAATATAAGATGGCTCTGTCTTTTGGTTTTGTTCCATCAACCAAAAGGGTGGATTACAAACAAATATTTGGTAATACGCAGTTACAATCGGCCCGAGTTTACACGTTTCCCGCACTCCACCGCAAATCTATATGAACCGAGTTAAAGACGGCTCCCGCGGAGTACGCGCAATTCACTCGAGCCGACTTAACTCGTTTCCCGCACTCCAAGTGTAAAGTACGGGCTGATGGTGATTAGCCTACAGCCGTGAATACCTCACTGAAACGATCCTCACACGCAGAGGAAAATATTTAACCTGAAAAAAGGTTCACTATCAGGGTGAATCCCTTCTTTTTACAGATGAAGAGTGACTGGACCAGCCCCGCTGGTATATGGCTCAGTGGTTGAGCGTCAACCTACGAACCAGGAGGTCATGATTCAAATCCCGGTCAGGGCACATGCCCCAGGTGTGGGCTTGATCCCCAGGGGGCGGTGTGCAGGAGGCAGCCCACCAGTGGTTCTCTCTCATCAGTGATGTTCCTATCTCTCTCTCCCTCTCCCTCCCTCTCTGAAATCAGTAAAATACTTTTTGACAAAGTGTGACTGGACCAGGGTCTCCCAGCTAAGAGGCAGCAGAGCGAGGAGGTGAGGCCAGCTCTCTGCTCGGCCCCCCTCCCCTCGGGCCCTTCTCCTCCAGCTTCCGCTCGCTCCGTGATGCCCTCCCACCCCGGGGCGAAAGCTCCGTGTTCCGGCTTCTGCGGATGCCGGATGCCGGGGGAGGAAGACCCTGAGAAACTCCGAAACGTACTGAGCTATGCCCAGACGCTCCCTGGCGCTCACGCTTACCTCCTTGATCGTGGTACTTCTTCCCCTCCACGAAAACCACCATCTTCCTCCCTTCCTGGGCATCTTATCCCTCATGATCGCTTCCACCGTGGCCTGTTTTAAATGGATGGCAACATAAATAACGGAACCAAAAGAAGATCAACGCAGCACAGTCAAACCAAAAGACACATGCAAACTGAAGTGAGGTTCAAACAAACAAGAGGAAGTGCAACATACGACGTGTGAATTAAAAATTTTCGAGAAGCAAAACCTAATGGCGTCCAAAATCGCGTGAAGGTAACTTAGGCATGAAGACTTAAGAAGATGCCAAAGGAATAAACGAACAACAAAAAGATGCAACACAACAAAAAAAAAAAGAGAAAGCGTTGAGAATCATTAGTGATTAGTCAGACCGCAAGTTTTCGAATCACAGTGGCTGGCTGGTTAAGGTGCTGTTACTCTCAAAGTGATCGTTATAAAATAAAGAAATGAAGTGATTCTATGGGCATGTTAATAACATGGGGTAAAAGCCACAGGATGGTGTTAGCGAATGTACATTTCGACAAACTGAACATTAGCATTTAAAATCTCAAGTGTTAAAAAATCGCACGCTGACCCTAAAGACATGGAAGTTTGATGGGGGAGATTCCATAATAACTAACCATTTTCTAAGTCTTTCCAAAGAACAAAATATCTCCCTGAGGCTAATCCCAGCCCCAAGGTCAAGGTCATTTCCCTTCCTCGGTTTATAGAACTGTTCCAGGCAGCTGCCATCAGCGAGGAATGAAAGAAGGATTTGGTCTTTCAACCCAACAGGTTGCAGGGAAGTGGAAAGATAAGCAATTCACATATTTGGCCGGAAGTGTGCTATTTTTTATCATTTAAAACACTCCCACCCGACACACAGTAAAACCTGAACACACAAAAACCCACAACCTGCAAACCACACGGACCCGCTTCACGAACAGCCCCCTGACACCCCCGTAAAGAGGTGGAGGACCTTCCCCTCCTAATGCGCCCGTCAAGGTCAGACCCCAATGAAAAACGCCGAACAGGACTCCTGTCAGACCTGGACAAGCGGATTCCCAAGTTCGCGGGGAAAACACACAGAAATAGCCAAGACCATTCTCGGGAGGGTAGTAAGAAGACACAGCCTTACTCAATAGTAAAGTGTATTTAAAACCACATTGACTTTTCAAAATGCAGTTGGTCCATGAATAAACCTATTAAAGGGCAAAAGACAACGTTCAGAAATAAACGTAAATTCACAGAGAAGTGCACTAGACGGTAAAGTTGTAACTGCCCGTCAGGGGGGCAAGAGGCATCGAATGAAAGGTTCTGGAGTCACCGGGCAGCTGTGCCAACCCTGCCAGCTGCCTCCGTGGGGGCATCACCCCCTTTCTGACTTTCCTGCCAACACGCCCTAAACTCTGTTCGAGGATCAGGCTGCGATCCGTCGGGAAGGCAGCCTCCAATCCAGAAAACGAACCTCAGCTGGTCTGCACCATTCACAGTCACCGCTGTCTTGCCAGCAGCCGACTGGAAGGTGAGCATGTGACCAAGTGGCCAATGAAATGGGAGAGGTCTGCCTGCATCCCTCCTACTTTGGATGTGGCTGCATAAGGCGACGCGGAGAACCGTCACCTCGAGATCCTGAAGGGAAAGCCAAGAAAATCCCAGAGAAGCTAACCCAGGTTCGTCAAGCCCGGGACCACCAGCCGCTGAGAGTCTTACTATGTGCGAGGGAAACCCCCGTTACTTAAGCCACTCGTCGCCCCTGGTCCCTGCAACCAACGCATCCCAACGCAATAACCAGCTGGACAAAGTGGCTGGGTTCCTGCTGCCTCACCCATCGCTCTCCAAATAAAATCTCGATGGATCGAAGACTGAAGAAAGTACTAGAAGAAGAGACGGGCACATTTCCACAGGCTTTGGAAACGGGCAAGCAGGGCCATTCCGAACAGGACACAAAACCCGAGAGCTGCAGAAGACTGACAGGCTCTGCACATAAGAACAACCCTACGTCAGATAAACGCCACAAAGGTGGTCAGAGCTACTGACACGCTTGTAAACAGGCTGAGGATGCGCATCACAGAGACGCATTTCTTTCCGTTTAGAAGTCGTGTGCATTTCCTGGTCTGTAAACTAAATCCTTTAGCAGCGTTTCCATGGCGCTCATCTTTTCTCTTACTGAACTGTAAGAGCTGAAGTGTGTAACATAAACATGCGTCCAGGGCCACAGACACTGTGAGGAACCTGGTAAGACAAAACGAAACCACCCAGGAAAGCAAGCCCTCCGCCCAGGGCACGCAGAATGCTCACAGATAAAGTCCCCCAAAGATAGGTCACAATCCCCAAATCCCAAAACACAATCTCACACACACACACACACACACACACACACGCAAGGAAGGAGCGAGCATGGACTTATCAGACACACACCCACGCACACTCTCTCACACACACACACTCATACACACACACAAGGAGCGAGCATAGACTCATCAAACACACTCATACATACAGACTCACACTCTCACACTCACTCACACACACACTCGCATGCGCACACACTCACACACAGGCATAGACTCATCAAACGCACTCATACATACACACACTCACTCACAGTCACACACTCACACACACACTCACACATGTACTCACACTCACACTGTCACACACACTCTCGCACACACTGTCACTCACACACACACACTCACACATACACTCACACACTCGCACACACTCAAACACACACAGTCACACTCACACACTCTCACACTCTCGCACACACATTCACACGCGCACACACACACTCACACACAAGGAAGGACGAGCGCACACTCTCCAAGGTCAGATGAGACCTTGGGGAGCCCAGGCAGCAGGATTCTCTGACACCGAAGCAGACGAGCACCTGCTAGGGGCACAGAGGGTGCAAGGGAAGCCGTGGCCTCTGAGGGGCAAGAGAAGCAGATTCGAACCCCTGACCCTGATGCTTGGGAACTTTGAAAGAGCCCAACATAATTAACTTTGTGGTTTTAAAAATAAAATCTAAATTCCAACCACCCATGTTTCTGGTGACCCTGTCTTTCTCGGGTTCAAGCTCACCTTTGGCAGAGGTTTCTGGAAGGCCTGCATTGCCAGCAGCAGAGGGGCTGCCGTGGTCCAGTTATAATACCTACAGGAAACAACGAAAGAAGCGTCAAAGGACTAAGGCCTGCCCAGCCAGCGTGCTCAGTGGTTGAGCACCCACCTATGAAGCAGGAGCTCACAGACAGATTCCCGGTCAGGGCACCTGCCCGACTGCAGGCTCCATCCCCAGTGTGGGGCGTGCAGGAGGCAGCCGATCCATGATTCTCTCTCATCATTGATGTTTTTATCTCTCCCTCTCCCTTCTGCACTGAAATCAATAAAAATATATATAATTAAAAAAAAAAACTTTTAAAAGACCCAAGGCCAGACTGAAAAGCCAATGTCATGAGGCGTGGCCGTGAAAGGTTCTGGAACTCCAGCTGGGTCCATGAAGAGCCCAAGCTGTTGCCCGCACCCCGGCCTCCCCTCATGTCCCCCCTGCAGTGGCCGCACTGCGGGGCGAGCGGCTGTCCAGGCAGCAGAGCCTGTGGCATCGCCGGCCGGGCTTCGAGGAAAAGGCAACCAGAGCCCCGAGCTTAACACGCAAACACCCACGCCTTCCTCCGGGAGTCCGGCAGCAGCTACAAAACACCTGCCCGCCCGACTCAGACCGGCTCTCAAGGGGGGACACGCTGCCCGTTCCGTCACCCCCGCGGGCCACTCGGGCCAAGTCCCCCAGGCCCGGGACTGTACACGTTCCACATAAAATCCGGTGCAGGTGAGCACTAGGACCCACAAGACCCAGCCCACCAGCCACAGAGCGCCAGTCACTGTCACAGCGCGCTGACAGTCACACGGCTGAACACAGATTCATAGCGAACAATGCACGTTGAGAACAGTGCCCACGGCTCCCGTCCAGGTCTCCGTCTGGAAAGCTGACACCGAACGGGCATCTGCCACCGCCAAGACGACGCGGGAGAAACGTACTTGTTCCCGATCTTTACCACCAGGTTGGGGTCGTCGATGAGGGCGGGGTTGTCCACAAACTGTTGATACGACACGGCTTGTTCCAAAAACGCGTCTGGGAAGCAATGGCAGGGGTAGAGGGAGAGATAAGGACAATCTGGTTCAAAGAACAGGCCCATTTCACTGGCTCGCGCGCCCGTGAGCTTCCTGGGAGTTTACACATTCCCCTGTGCGTGCCCCTGTGCGGGAAGTCCTCGCGTGCACCTGTAAGGGCAGGACCTTCACCTTGCCTGGGGGCAGCATCTGTGCAGAGCGAAGGGAGGCCGGGCGGAGGGAGGATGTGGGGAAACGTCCCCTCAGGGGGTTCCTACGCTTGCAGGGCGGGGGTGGGAATACAGTCTGCACACACACCTGGGGAAGCAGGTCTAAGCAACAAGCGTTGCTGTGACCCTGGGCAGGTGCCTCAGCTCCCTCGCCTGCCACGGGGACTGTGAGGATGGGTGGGGGCGAGAGCGGAAGGCAGTGTCCTGCCTCACAGAAGGGCTCGCTCAATGCCAGCGGGCGGGGTGCTGACCACCATCACCCCCAGGAAGGGCAGGGGACCACGTGAGGCCCAGCACTGACACAGCCTCACACGCTCAGAGCTGGCAGGGAGCCCAGGTCAGGAGGCGACCTCAGTTCATCACTGGGGTGATGATCAGCGGGGTCAGGTGCCAGAATAAGGGCAGAATAAGGGGCCCCAGTCTCTGGTGGGAAGCAATCCACAAAGCGTGAAGGGAGCTCAGGAGGAGACAGGGTCTAGGATGGCATCTCGGGGCAGGAAGGAGGCTCATGAGAGGCAGCGGGAGAAGTGCAGGACCCACCCCGTTCCCTGCGAGCAATTCAGACCACGGGGGGGGGGGGGGGGGAGTGAGTTCCCGGGTTTCCTCGGGGAATGTCAGGGGGAATGGCGGGCTGCACTGGCTGGGATCCTGGGCCACCTCACCATGTAACTGCGGGGACTGGGACATCGCTTTATGAACCTGATGGACGCCATGAACCCATTCACCCCCTATGCCAACCTGGGAGCACCCTTCAGCTCCAGCTGGGCCCCTCCTCCACCCACAGCATTGCTGCCCCCACCCCTCCAGTGCACGGTGTCCCCGAACACTGCCTCCCCCACGGGGCTGCAGGCCCTACGCCTCGCAGGACTGGCACGGGGCGAGGACACACGGCGGGCTCAGCAGGCGCGCCTGACAACGAGCGACCCCGGTGGCCTGGCTGCTGCCTGAAGCCACGTGTGAACACCAGAACCCAAGGTCGCCAGGGGCAAGCCAGCAGCACGTGAGTCGTGAGCAACAGTGAGTCACATGTGCTGCTGTTCACCAAATGCAGAGGCGGCAGCCGGACTGGAACTAAGGATGGAAGCCAGGCCTCCGGGCGTTCTCAGCAGCCGCCACCAGAGGGTGCTCGTGGCCTGAGGACCAGCTCCGAGGTGCCAGTACCTTTGGTGATCTCCCTGTTGTCGCTGAGGCCGCCGCAGAGGGAGATGGCGATGGACGGCAGGTCCCTCAGGCCGTCGGAGGTGCTCTCCACACCACTGTCGGCCCCAGAGCTGCCCACGGACTGCGGGGACTGGTTGGCTGACCGGGCTCCGTTGTCGGCATGTTTGGGGAGCGCAGAAGGGTCCCCGCTGGAGGGAGGAAGAGGGGAAGGTGTTCTGAGGATTCTCCCGGTCTAGGGTCTCACACACACGTGAAAGGACTCCAATCCGAGACCCCCACAGAGCAAATGGCTCCATCCTGGGACGGACTTCTCATTAAAGCACCAAACAAAGACCACCTGAAGGCTTTCCGAGCAGAGAGCACAGTCAGCTTCTGCTCCCACATCCCCTGCAACCCCCCCAAACCCACGTGGAGAGACAGGGGATCGAGCACACTCCTCAGAGGCCACAGCTCTGGGCTTCACCCTCCGTGGACCTGGCCCTCCCTGCAAACCCCAGGAGAACTAAGGATGGGCCACGGACCCTCCCGTGGAGAGAGGGCCACGCAGCTGCCGCCTTTGCCACGGAATCGGGCTGTGGGTCACTGACCCCCACAACTCGACCTCGGGGTCATCGGTGGGTCACTGACCACCACAACACAACCTCAGGGTCATCGGTGGGTCACTGACCACCACAACACAACCTCGGGGTCATCGGTGGGTCACAGACCACCACACACAACCTCCGCATCATCAGGGGAGACAGCCTCCTCCTCCTTCCCGCTCCGACGGCGGGAAGCCGGCCACATGGAGATCCCCCCCCACCACGTCTACAGAGAAAGCCCGCTCTGTACTGGCTGCTTTTGTCAGGACACCTCTTCCCATTCTCAAATCAAACCGGAGGAAAAAGTGAACTCGCACAGATCCCCATTCAGATCACGGAACACGGCCCGAGGAATAAAAAGAAGGTTTACTTTTTGGGAAAATACAGGGCGGCCACTTCGGGATCCATGTCTGTGAGGTCGTCCAGGTAGACGCCGTCCGCCCCCAGGTGCCGGCTTCGTTTGTCTGCAAACAAAAGAGCAAAGGAGCAGGTCAGAGCCGCGCCCAGGGACCCCCGACCTCTGACCTCCAACCTCTGACCTCCAAGCGCCTCTGGGGAACCCACTGAAGCCCGGTGTTCAGAGGAGCTCAGAAGGGCCCGGACTGTGAAGTGAGGGTTCACCACACGACCCCCCAAGACCTCCTTCACGTCTCACTGCCTACGACTAAATTCTCTTCACTAACATATTCGGCAAAAGGGCAGGGACCGGACAGGACAGACGTCACGGGTCCGTGTTCTGAGCTTTGGAGGCAGGACCGGAGCTTGCAGCGCCCACGGGAACAGAGGGGCGGGAAGCAGCCTCATCCGCACCTTTCTTCCTAGACGGCGAGTCCGTCTTGCTCGCCGCCAGGGCGGAGAGGGCTTTGGGCTCCTCGGTGGCAGGCAGGGGCGGGGCTGCGGCTCCCAAGGCCTCGACGTCCTCCTCATTCACAAACTGCATCTCGGTCTGAGACTTGCTCTGCTCCTTGCTCTGCTCCGAAAGCGGCTGCGGAGGCGGCGCCTCGGCCAGCGGCGGCGACGGGTCGCTAAACGCTTCGGGAGGCTCGCTGTGGATGGCCTGGAAGTGCATCTTCTCCGAGAACTTCCTGCTGCTCAGCGGGCTGGAGTCTTTCATCTTGTGTGTAGGCGACTGGATGGAAGGGCAGGCGGAGAGGGAGGAGGGGTCAGAGCACAAGCAGAAAAAGCGAGTTAACCAAGAACCCCAGTTGGCCAGGTAAGGATCTGCCCACTGTCCACGCCCAGCGGGCTCCAGCTCGGGGTCACCTGGCGATTTCCGCACCTGCCAGAGGGCCCAGAAGCCAAGAACAGTCGTGCCAACACAGAGGAACTGTGACTTAAAACGCCAACTGCCGAGCAGAAGAGAGCGAGGCTAGTAATGGCCAGCAGGGGGCAGCAGCCCAGACGCCCAGGAGAACGGGCAGTGTGGCCACTGGGGATGCTACCTGCTATGGGGACCAGAGTAACTGAGCCACGGTTACAGACGACCCGATGAGCGTGCGAGGCCAACCTCTGCTGCTGGAGTCAAGATCTGGTCTGGCCCTAACCGGTTTGGCTCAGTGGATAGAGCGTCGGCCTGCGGACTCAAGGGTCCCAGATTCGATTCCGGTCAAGGGCATGTACCTGGGTTGTGGGCACATCCCCAGTAGGGGATGTGCAAGAGGCAGCTGATCGATGTTTCTCTCTCATCGATGTTTCTAACTCCTTATCCTTCTCCCTTCCTCTCTGTAAAAAATCAATAAAATATATTAAAAAAAAAAAAAAAAGATCTGGTCTGTCCCTGCGGGGGGTCAGCGTGAGCAGCCTCTGCAAAGATGAGGGCTTCCAGGGGGTCCCGCTCCCTGGTCTGGGTGCAGGTCGCATGGCCCCGCTCACCATGGGAAATGCATGGCCCTGAGCACTTACCATCCGGGCATTTCCGTGTGTGTGTATATTTCACCCCCAAATGTGAGTGAATGAGTGACAATTTGGCACCTGGTTGCAAGGAGTTTCCAGTCACGGAAAAGATTCCTCCAAACAAAACCCAAAGGCGATTTGTGCACTAGAAGTGGGGGGGGGGGGGGGGGAGCGTGTTCAGCCCTGCGTCTGAGCTCGGCTCCCGGCACAGAGGAACGTGCTGCCGGGGCCTGTGCTTGGACCCGCTTTCCAGAAGCGATGGGTCTGCACTTCCACACCGTCTCCCCAGCAACCAGTGACACGGGTTTGGGGGGGTGGGGGCGCTGCCTGGGTCAGCAGTTTGCAGGCAGCGGAATCAGCACTTCCCGTGACGACAGCTAAATATAACCCACCGAGGGCATGGACCAGCGCCAGCCCAGCGGCCTGCTCTCCACGCAGCTGCCCATCCTGAGTCTCAACAGGAAGGCCAGCCCTCGCTCGCTCCCCGCTCATTCGTTCGGGCCACAAACATTTACTGGGGATACGAGAGGCCGTGGCATCGTCCCAGGGCCTTAAAATCCTTTTTGCAAAACACACACAGCTGCAAACATAATAATTCCAGATTCTTAAAATACATTGGCCTGTGAAGTAAAGTCTCTTGGAGGGAAACAGTGTCCGTCTCTAGGTTTTAGGGGCGGCTCGCGGTGGGGCGGAACGGGGGGCACTCACCTTGGCGGCCTGGGGCAGCTCCCCCCAGAGCCACAGCATCTCCAGGTTGCTCTTCTGCGCCGCCCTGTCCGCCGACTTGCTGACCAACTCGGAGTCACTTTTAGGTGTCGAAGGGCGGGAACCTGAAGGACTGAACAAAACACAAATCCAGGATTAAAGCAGGAAGAACCTTTCTTAAAATCTATGGTGCCAACAGCCCAGAAAAGGCACCCAAGCCGGCATTCCCTTAGGACAGCGATTTTCAACCTTGTTCATCCCATGGTACATACACTGCTAAAATTCTGCAGCACGGCCAAAAATATATTCTCTTTTTTGCCCATCTGACCCCAAAAATAGTAACTTTGATTCATTTATACCAGAGGGCTATTGCTGCACTGGCTGTTGTCATTCTTTATTTGACAATTTCAGGCAAAAGGGGTCGAGGCCCCTGACGACAGAGCCAAGGCCCTCAGCACCGGGTGGAAATCGCTGCCCTATGAGCATGGCTTCCGGACGTGTCCCGTCTGCGGCCACCAGGGGCCCACAGGCAGCTGTCCAGGCGGAAGGTGCGCCCGCTGCCGGTAGAGAAGGTGAGAAGTAGCGTTAAAAAGGGAAGATTGAAAGAGAGAGATGAAAAGAGCCAGGAAAGAGAGAGACTGTCTTTCCTCCACCACCAGCCGCCCTCCCTCGGGCTGGCGCACTCTCCCGAGTCCCCCATCGCCCATCCAGGCTCGACAGCACCCAGCGCTGGCCCTCCGACGCGCCCCCTCTAGGCTACACTCAGAACAGGGCAGAGTCCGCTCTGGCTTTGAAAAGAGGAAACAGCACCGTGTGCCAACTGGACCGCTCACACCGGTGCCAACCGGACCGCTCACGCGGCAGCAGCCTCCACGTGAGGTTTCAGGAAACAGTCCGCCGCCAGGACACCACCGGGCTCCTACCCGCCGGCCCCTCCGCGATGGCGTCGCAAGGCCTCGGCCCCAGGCCGGCTTCTCAGTGTCCGTGGCTGTTCTCCTCTCTGTTTTCTCTATGTTCCTTCTTGAGACCTGAACAAGGTCTTACCACTGTCCAGCCCGAGTCACCGGCCCGGAGTGACCAACTGACCCACAGAATCCCCGCAGCAGTGCACACACCCAGCTGGGAAGACGCCCCTGGGAGCATCTCCTGTCTCTCCTCCTGCAGCCTCGCTCTGGGGTGAGACGGAGTTTTCAGATGAAGCAGGAAAGGAAGCTGCCGCGGTTCCTTCCCCACCCTGGTCTCTCAGCGCCTCACTGCCGGGCTCCGTCCCCTGACTGAGGGACAGTCCACCCCAGCCGTGGGCAAACTACAGCCCGCGAGCCGGATGCGGCCCATTTGAAATGAATAAAACTAAAAAAAAAAAAGACCGTACCCTTTTATGTAATGATGTTTACTTTGAATTTATATTAGTTCACACAAACACTCCATCCATGCTTTTGTTCCGGCTCTCCGGTCCAGTTTAAGAACCCATTGTGGCCCTCGAGTCAAACCCCTGGCTGAGGGACAGTCCACCCGTCTGAATGCGCTTCCCTGTCAGGACACGGAGAGCGCATTGATGACACATAACTGTGTCCAATCGGGACCCTCACTGGCCGCACTGCTCCTGCCTCGCTTCAGGCAAGCCCTTCAGACGAGGGAAGCCTCCCGCCCCCTCCCCCCTGCGTACAGAGCCGGCTTCCTCCTCCGGGGCCCCTACCCACGGTCCTCTGCACACATGTCGCTGTGGGGTGAGGGTCCCGAGATGGCACCTGGTAGGGGCCCATGAAATGGGACACAGCACAGGCCGTCAGGGAGGAGCCACACGTCGGAGAGGTCAAGGGTCATCACCTGCCCACCTCTCTGCTTCCTCCAGCCCCGTCTTCACGCTTTCCTCAAGGGCCAGCGCCCGCCGACCAGCATGTCCACAGTGATGTCAGCCTCAGCGAACAGGCCGTGGCCTCCGGCGGGGCCTCTGCACCTGCACTGCAGCCTGTGTCCACGCCTGGCGAAGCCGTCCCAGGAGGACACCCCCCTCCCAGAGCTCACCCACACCTGCGGGCCCTTGTTCTGAGCCCCTGCCGTTCTATCTGTCACACTAAATGCAGCTTGTGTTCTGTTGTGTTCTATAACTTGTTACAAGTCTGAGGACTAAACTGTCTCAGCCACTGAGTTCAGTGCAGCCCTTTCGGCCGAGCTGCTCTAGGGTGGGGCTCCCACACTTTCTGTGAAAGGCCAGAGCGCGGCTGCTCCAGGCTTGTGGGCGACGCCTTCTGTCGTCTGCCGAGGCTACTCAGTCCTGCCATCCGAGCGCGAAGGCAGCCTGAGACGGCCCACTCCCCACCCCCATGAGGCCAGCGGGGTGCCATCTGCCGCCCTCTGCTCCGGAAGCATGCAAACACCCACAGTTCCAGAGCCCCCCACCCCAGCACCCGGACACCCTGGTCCCTGCAGGAAGGCCACAGGCTCCCCAAGACGCCCGGTGTGCCCACGCAGACCCCCAGAGAGCCTCGCCCTGTGAGTGGCGGAAAGAGGCTGCACGTCCCACCGCTCGGTAGGTAACAGCAGTCAGTGCGGCCCCTCGCCAGCCCTCCTCCAAGGCGCCTGTGCTCAGCACACACACACTCCGCTGCGCCAGGGGACTGGGACCCGCTGAAGAGGAACCGGGGAAGGTTTCTGTTGTCAAATATTAGCCTTTTGAGATCAAGGGCTGCTCCAAAAGGTAAGCTGATGAGGTCGCTGACTGATCTTCTTAGTAACGCATTTACTAGCCAGACAACCGTGTTCAGCATGTCTGCTGGTTCCAATAAGCGTATCAGCTATCGCTGCTCACAGCTCAGTCCACCTCATTTAAAAACGGCCTTTCTTCTGCACGTGCACATCCTGAGATGTGGGTCTTTCATCAAAAGGAAAAGCAGTTTCCCATCTAAAAGTAATCCTAGCTTCCTTCGCGGAAGTTTAAAGTGAACCCCTTCGTTCCAGAAAGCAGGACTGCAGGCCGGTCAGGCCGTGGGCAACCCCCAGGGAAAAGGGCAGAAGCCTGAGACCACTGCGTCCAACGAGAAGACAAACCTATGACCAGACATAGGCTCCGTCCTGTCCTCGTCTCCAAATATTCTAGGAGCACCGTGCAAACAGCCGATGCCGCGACTCAGCGAGTCTAACGTGCTCTTTAAACATGTATAATAAGCTCCGTTCTCTAAAATAATGTCCTTTAAAAAAACCGTGTTAGCCTACCGGCTGAGCAACACCAGACACAAAACAAAAGGTCACCTTCCCAAATTGTACTTCATTATTCTATTCTGAAGGCACGTCACAGAATTAGGAAAAATTCTATGATCAAACCACAATTCCCAGGGAGTTTCCAAGTTCGTACTAAGTTAGAAAGAGTCTAATCAGTATGAAAGGAGAATAAGAAACTGAGTGTTTTCATCATCAGTCATTTGGTTAGTCGGCAGAAGAGATCTGTAAGAGTTAGATATAAATGTTCGCTTCAGAGAATCTACACGTTTCTCTGCGTAAGTGATTGTGGTTAGCGGTTAGGAGACGTGGAGGAGTCAGTGAAGAGCTGGTTAGGAAGACACCCCGTGGGGCAGGGCCCGCTACCTTTCCAGAGCGTGCAGGACGGACGACTGTGGAGGGCAAGAGCTAGAGAGCAGGCCCTCGGCCGCCACGGCCACGTGAGGGGGCGTCCTTTTGCAATCTATCAGGCTACTGGATGCCGGATGCACATGAAGAGAAAAAAGGTCACAGGTCAATGAAGTGAAACCAGATTTCCTACCTGTCCCAGGACCGCCGTCCGGGGTGACACTGTAAGGGACGATCCTCCCAGGCCCCTGACCGCAGCCGAGCAGCTCTGTTGACATCGCCATCAACATGAACTCTCTTAACCGCAAAAACAGGAAGCTGCCCGAGGCCCAGCTCCCTTTCTGTCGCATCCACGTGCCCATGAAGGACCGCCCTCCGTGGCTCAGAGCGCAGGGCTTCCTCCCGGCTCTGGGGCGTGTGGTCTGACTGTGTGTGCTGCCAGCTGTCCCCTTAAGGAACACACATGATGCCATGAATGGAAGTGTGCCCGCTCATCCTAGCTGGTCACTGCATCGGACAGTGGTCGGACCCTCATAAGCTGACACGGTCGTCACCCCGGACTCGCAGAGGAAAACGGGAAAGAGAAAACCTCTTCGGGGTTGTGTTTGAAACACCTAAATTCTTAGCATTAATAAAGAGTGAACATGTTTTCCACCCACTGGTGCCCAACACCCCCCATTTTCCTCCTCAGTCCTGTGTTCCCCTCCGGGGGGCTTATCTCCAGGGACCCCAGGAGAGAATGTCCGAGGTTCCGGGACGGGACCCGCCTCACTGTCCGACAGGAGAGCCACTGGCTGCCGGAGACGGCTGGGCACGGGAAGGTGACCAGTCCAAACGGGCAAGTGCGTCCATGTGAGAGACACACCGACTTCAAAGACCTACCACACACATGGAATGTGAAATAGCTCATGAACACTGGTTTTAAATGTATTTTACTGATTTCAGAGAGGAAGGGAGAGGGAGCGAGAGAGAGAAACATCAATGATGAGAGCTGCCTCCTGCACCCCCACACTGGGGATCGAGCCCATAACCCGGGTGTGTGCCCTGACCGGGAATCGAACCGTGGCCTCCTGGTTCGCAGGTCAAAGCGCAACCACTGAGCCATGTCGACCGGCCCACTAATAATGTTTTTAAAAACTGACTACCTGAATGATATTTTGGATACACGGGGTCAGATGAAATACATCATTGAAGTTCACTTCCTCAGTGTCTTTTTACTTTTCCAGGATGGCTGCTACAACATTTTAATTTACGTCTGTAGCTAGCATGATGTTGCTGTTGGACAGGACAGACAGACCTCAGTGAGGGGACTGCCCAGCCCCCAGCCCCACCCTGGCTGCCGGCTGACTGACACTCATCGTCCCAGTCCCGGCTGGAAGCCAGGATGCAGCCTGTTTTCCCTGACCTGCAGCTCAGCACCACCCCTCCACCCAGCTCACTGTGCTGCGTCATGCACGCATCACACGGGTGAAAGTGAAACCAGGCCTGGTGAGCAGGAAACAGGCTTAGGCAGGAAGCTCTGCAGCTCCAGGGGCCCCCACAACCGCTGTCAACCAGAGGTAAGTCTCACATGAAGCGTGAGAATAGCCCGGCCCGGGGGGCGGGGTGGGTGGGTGTCATCCTGTGAACCTAAAAGGTAGCCAGTTCGATTCCGGTCAGGGGGTGCAGGAGGCAGCTGATCGATGTCTCGCTCTCACATCGATGTTTCCCTCCCTCACTCCCTCTCCCTTTCTCTCTCTAAAAAAAGAAGAAAGAATAAGAATAACCCAGTTGTCCTGCCCTATCACTGAGATGGCCATTTCTCCGCCTCTTTCTCACTATCACCACCCCCGGAGCATCTGGCTGTTTTCCCCTAACAGTGCTCCCTGGGCCGTGAGATTTTAATGCCGGGGTCCTGGGTAGCTGTGTCTGTGCCGTGGCCCCTGCTGCAGCTGCATGAGCCCCTCCCCTGTTCTCTGAAAACTGCCCACACCAGAAGTCTAGCCGACGTGAGGGCTCATTTCCAGGAAATAAACACCCTTGAACTCAGAGAGTGACTGAGCTCGGGGAGAAGGGAGAAGCGATCGTCCGAGCGGCCTCAGTGGCCCCTGAAGCAGCCTCGCTGCTTGAATCTTACTTTGGAGACAAGGATCAGGGAAGGCTGTCGCCTGTGTCCTCCGTGACCACTGGCGTTGTGACCCTTCACCAGTGCTTCTCCTTCCCACGCCACCCCAGGGAGCTAAGCGCTGTATTTGCATCTCAGCTCTGAGGCGGGGCCTGCACATGTTGCTAATCCCCCTCTGCACCTCCTGCTCTACCTGCATCTTCTTCTGTCCTAACGAATTTCACTTTGGTTTATGTTTCTATTCTATGGAACATGCCTCCTAGCTGACTTCAAATCCTCTGGACCAGGACAGGTGAGCGCACCCACACACGCACACACACACACACGCACACGCACTCCCACACGTGCAAACGCGCAAACGCACACGGCAGCTTACCTGGCGTTGGGTGACCACTCTCTATCGGAACTAGGGTACGATGATGACTGAGAATAAGGCATGACTGGGGGCACGTTTTCCTTGGGAACATCTTCTTGGAATGGAGGTATGTCGTTAGAAAGAGTTCTGCTTAAAAAAAAAAAAAGAGGGAGATTTAAGTCAAACATTAAAAGCGACAGAATCACAACAAAGGCAAGAGTCCGTTTTTCAATGCATCCACAGGGCGGGGTGGGGGGATTGTAAGAATCATGTTTGAAAATCACGTCGCCCGGGTCTCCAGGGGCCCTGTCCCCGCGGACCGACGTTTACCTGCTGCTGTCCATCGCGTCCCGCTCCTCGTCGGAGCTCATCTCTATGGGGAACATGTCTTCGTCTTCCGACGTGTTGGAGTTGTCGTCCCTCTTCAGGCTGTCCAGCTGGGACTTCCTCCTCCTCTTCCGTCTCTTCTTCACCAGGGAGCCGCTGGAGGGGGTCTCGCCGGGAGGCAGGGCTGGGGCCGCCACACCAGAGTCCAGGCTCCGCGCCCGGTCCACGGAGTTCCTCTTCAGCTGGCACTCCATGCGCGAGGCCCCGTCCGACAGGATCGGGGAGGTGGCCAGGTGCGTGGGGATCACTTCCTGAGGACGGAAAGTCTTGTTTACAACGAGGCTCGTGCACTCGGGCCTCAGGGGCAGGATCGAGCCAGAGGGGCGCCCGTGTGACAACGTCCCCGTGACCTGGGGGTGTGGCTGCCCGGTATCACGGGCACACATCGGTGAAAACACTAAAAAACACTGAATTGAGCACTTGAAATGGCTAAACTGTATGGTATGAGAATTATCTCAACAACACTGTTAGACATTTTAAAATAATAAAAATAGCCCTAGCCGGTTCAGCTCAGTGGATAGAGTGTCAGCCTTCGGACCGAAGTGTCCGGGGTTCAATTCCAGTCAAGGGCACGTACCTTAGTTGCAGGCTCTTCTGCAGACTGGGCCCTGGTCAGGGCGCGGGCAGGAGGCAACCAATTGATGTGTTTCTCTCACATCGATATTTCTGTCTCTTTCCCTCTCTCTTCCACTCTCTCTAAAAATCAATGGAAAAATATCCTCAGGTGAGAATTTTAAAAAATAATAATAAAATAAAATAATAAAAAGACAAGCAATCTGGTCACTCACTAGACAAAAATCGACCACTCGGCCATCTGCGTTTGACAGCAGTACAATCTGTATGCTATGGACCAGGGTTCAGGCCAGGCGACTGGGTTCCTCTGTCCCCCTGGAAACGGTGAGCCCACGGAAGCAGCCGAGCTGCCGAGTCTTGTGGACTCAGCACACAGCAGCCCATCAGGCTCAGATGCCAGGACAGACAGCGCCTGCTTCCTCTGCTGCCACCGTCCGCACCGTCGGGAGCCGGCAGCGTGCTCCACCCACACCCCGCTGTCTCCTGCGCGGAGCGAGGAAGTGGCCCTGACCCCCAGCCTTCCTTACCTGATCGTTATCAGTCTCTTGAACAAAAAAGGCTTCTCCGTTATCTCCCAGCTTCATGTGTAAATCCACAGATTCCCCGTTGATTTCTATGTCAACCTGGAAGAAAAACGCACGTCTCCACATCAGGAAACAAACCTCCCCGGCCACGCCTCCACACGCGTGCACTTGAATCGCACACACGCCACAGAGAGCTCACAGTTCCAGGTCGCAGTCGGTCAGCCTGGTCCTGCCTGCTCTTCCCCACCGGGAAATGCAGACTGCACCCGCCCCACACCGCCACCACCGGAGCCCAGGCGGGCTTGCGTATGTGACTTCAGAGACTGGGTCAGAGGAAA